ACATTATTCCATTGTATAAAAATACTCTATACAGTGTTTGATACCTCTGTAATGTGTTGTTCAAACAATCATGTAATAATAATAATATTAATAATAATGACAGTGTATTTAGCATTTACGGTCTCCGATAACATGACATGCCACCTAACCTAACCATTTCGATTAATACCTGCAGTCTGCACGGCTGGTACTACATGATAACGATGTTAATGATATACCTAATATAAGTATTCAGAGTATGCAAGTACGGTTGTGGTATTTATTTTCTATACCAACTACTGTCATTACGCCGTGCAGCACGATATTGTTATATTATAATTTATAGTTTATAATAGTGGACGCAACAATGGATGTTTCATGTAGTCATTTTATATCCTATAACAACATATTTCCGTGTAAATTATTATTTATTATATTATATCACAGGCACCGACCAGATTATGACGTATAATATTATGTACGTAATACACATGTCAATATGAATGATGTGTTACTGCAGTTGTTACTGCATGCGTGTTGGGATCGAAATAATAATAATATTATTACTATTATTTAAACCACAAGGAGAAGACTCTTGACTGTTGGGTCGCACATAAAGCGAGGTACTTGTATAGTGCATTTTTATACACGTGTTGTACTGTAATTATGTATACTATATATACATGTATACAAAGTGCACGGGGACAACTAGTATATATATATATTTACTCTGGAAATCTAGCCCTGTAGATGATGTGGTGGATGAAATATTAGAATTTCGTTCTTAATATAGGTACCTCATTAGAATTGAAGTTGTGAGGAATATTATTACATAACATTAACATATAAATTATAAATACAATATACATAGTATATTATATACCACGGTGACGTAATAGGTACCGTGAATGATATAATTTATGTAATAACGTAAGTGTCTATTAATGTTATTGAATATGGGTCAATAACATTAATATACAATATTGTTTGTGTTGAGGCATCATATTATACAGGTATTTCAATGATTGAACATTGAATATTTAATAATTGTACCTTGTATTTAGTATTTAATATTTATTGAGTGTTTTTCTTAAGTATTTTGCATAATGTATTTACATTTTAAATACTATTTCTACTCGATGTATATTGTATTTTCAATAAAAAAATAATCTAAGTAAATATTAATTTTTTTACAGTTTTCACTCAGTGAAAACCGATCATTTAGTCGGAAAATTCCGACAGGGCTCCTTTCCTAATGTGTGTACAGGGCCCAAACTGAATTATATAGGTGGTTAATTTTTTTCTAATTTTAAACACAAAAAAAATAATACATTTTATATTATAAAATGCAAAATAATTTACCATTATTAGATTAATAAAAAACAGCTATTTTGTGTCTAATTATATTACTGATTCATTTTGTACGAGGCCCCTCTTTTATGGATTGGCAGACTTCATTTGAATCCTTAAATTATCCACTATTCTCACCCAACGCAACAACTAATAAAGAAACTTTTTATTAATTTTAACACAAGTTTGTATTTTTTAGCACCGGTTGAACGTTTTCATTCATCCTCTGACTTTGTAAAAACTTTAGGAACATAATTTGAAAAAATTATTCTATATTTTGAAAAGCAACAATTCAAATGACTTAAAATTATAATTTTTCAGTTATTTTTATTAAATTACTAAATGTATAAATACGATTTGTTATAAATTATATAATTAATTCTACTCATATATTAAATTTGGTTATTTTTTTTTAATGCATATAGTATTTCTTTTATATTTACTTATTAAAACATTTAAAACCAAATATATTTTATATCTTATACTAATTAAATAAAAATGTTTGCATCTAGTATTTTTCTCCTGTTAACAGAAAACATAAAAAATGTTTTAAAAATCAAATGTATCAACATAAACATCAAGTTTATAACTTCGACTAGTAATACCTTAACCATTAAGCTTAATGTCATACAACAGTTAAACAGTCATACAACAGTACTATTGACTTTATTTATAATTTTGTTTAATAAAATATCATATACGGTATACCCATAATATTTATTTGATTTTTTTTTAATTGCAATCTTTTTTTAAAATTATATAACATGTTCAATGTTACTGAACTTTTACATAGATTAGTTTTATTAAATAACAACTGTAAGTCTGCATGTGTTGGCCGTTACTCGTTAGACATTTCGAATTACATAATAAATCTACATAATACATAATTTCTTTTACAAGCACACCGATTACGTTTGTACCCTTTTGTAGTAACAAATGTGTCAAAACATATTCTATATATATAGCCAGCAGGCTGCAGCCTCACGGAGGATATTTTTTTCTCAGGAAATACGATTATACTTTCAGGACACGGAACCAATTGCGTAGTAGTATATTATTCTTTTTTAAATTTATTTTTATAATTTAATATTCTGTACCTATATTATTATTCTACTTCAGAGTTCTACATTTTTTAATTAATTTTACAACCATTGCTGGTACAAACTTATATATATATATATATGATGATTACAAAATACCAGATTTATCGTGCATGAACCTTTATAGAGGAACCTATAAGAAATATTGCTAAGTACATAATTGCACCGGGTAATTTATTTTATCCTGAAACATTATTTGTCCAAATCGAATAGATAGAAGTAACTAATTTTAATCAGAAATTATAGGTACATGCCAACAAAGAAATTTTCAAAAAAAAACTGGCAAGTAATTCATGTAATCATGTGTATTTGTTTAGTTTGGTTTAAGTAGGGGTGGGGAAGATTTTGGATACGCGTCTTCAACCCTGACACCAACATAATGACAAAAATACTTATTTACACTACTATTTAGTACGCAATTAACATATACTTGCATGACCATTATCGAAATTTACACTCCTACCAGCAAAAATCAATTTTGATTTTGCGCGCATGTCCTTTGCATATAATTGATTTTAGTGGGCAGGGGAATGGCGTGCAAATTTCGGGAAAGGTCATGGAAATAAGCATACAACTATTACGAAGGTACCTATTAAATATTGGCGTGAAAAAAAGAATTTTATATTTCACATTATTACACATTATAGTGGTGAGGACACGGGAAATGTAGAAAAGTGGTCATTGCCAACGGATAGTTTTGGGACTGGGTATGCAAATACTTGCTAAATATTTTCAAAATATATTTTTTTGAATAGTTTGATGTGGAGGGGCTACACAGGGAACAAGTCAGAAATATCTTTTAAATTTAAATTCTTCACGGTATAACAATATAACAATATATTATAATACATATTTATGATTAAGTAGTATACCGATTAACGAGTATACATATACGTATACAGTATACAGTTAACTATAAGATAGTTTTAAATGTGAACTTCTTCATTCTTCTGTTTTCTAGATTTTTCACAGAATATTTGGACAGTTCTGTTCGTTGGTTGAAACAATTTAGATAAAAATATACGTAAATGTGTATATAATTTAAGATGTAATTTGGTTATGTTTATCAACTCGCTATGACACGAACATGTTCCACTGAACATATATGACCAATCACAAAGTAACACTTTTTAGAAATAAACTTTAACGATGTGATCGATATTTATGGCTTAATAAATTATGTGTCAAGAAACATGGTGTAATTATATTATCATTTTCACGTGTTTATAAAAATATGTTTTAATTTTTTGAACATAAAATATATGTTGTAAAACCTTATAAGTAATAACCTAATAACCTATAGTAACTCAATAATATAAAAACAGTAATAATAATAATAATACATTTAAAGGCCATGACTGTATGAGCAATCATATTTTTGGGAAGCAGCCGCATATCCAGTGATGTACTGATATACGATACTGATTAATTATTTACCAGATAGATTAAAAATCTTTGAACTCGGTGGTACCTGCACCATAGTCACCATACACATAAACCATTGACCTAGCTGTATATATTATAATATAATATTTATTATTTATATATGCACCTACGCCTAGCAGAGGGAGGGTTGATATGATATTATATACGTATAATATGAATGCGTGATCAACGCGAATAAAAACCCGACTGCGTCCAGTAGCTATATATATATATATGTGCAGTGTGCACATTAAAATACTCCGTAGATGGGTGGGGAGGGACTTCCCCCTCTGCCAATTCCGACACTCACCAGTCGGCCGTTCTAGAGTAAATGTCCATATATACCTAGCCCCCGTTTAATTTTGTGTACACATTATTATTATTATTGTTATTATTATTATTATTGTTGTTGCCTTTGCCTGTTACCGTAGGCAACCGACCTCTTGATACGGTTATATACTAGACTGCCTATGTATACATATATAACCTGTCCGTATAATAAACGGAACGGACGGCCGTCGTAGACGATGTGCGTTTTTCGTCTTTTTTTTAGAAAAAAATAAATAAAACACAAGACGGGGGCGAAGTATAACGACTATACTATAATATATATGTATATATGCTTTAAACAGTGAATGAAACTCTCCCTGCAGACGGAGAGGGTTGGGCGACCCTAAAAAATAGGTACGCCTGCTACCGCTCTTATATTATTATATACGTATTATGGCATAATATATTCCGCAGTTTATACGTATATAGTAATACGGCCAAAGCGGAGTCGCTATTTTTCTCACTCCTTCCCTATCGTTCTCTCTCACCCTTCGTCACTCACCCTGTCGTCCTCGTCCGTTACCGAAAATACCTATGCGCCTTCGTAGTCGTTTGCACCGCACTTCCCACGCAAACCGTACTTACGACTCGACGGTTGATGTACGTCGACGCTACACGCCGCGACACGACGCTACCGTAGTCGCTGTGAGTGTAGCGTCTGCAACACCGCGTCACGGAATTCTGTGTTTCCGTCCACCGGACGACTGCAGCAGGAGCCGTGGCCGGCGGTGGACTATAGGCGACGGTGGCCAACGGATGCGGTCCGGTCGGCGGTGGAGGAAGAACCGCGGGTGATGCGCGCGTCCGACCGCCATCATGGGCTGTAACCCGAGCAAAGACGGAGGTGCCGTCGGCGGAGAAGGTGTGGGAGGTGATGGCGGAGGAGGGGTCACCAACAAACTGTCGTCGGCCGCCGAGTCGGACGCGGCCGAAACGCTCTTGATACCGTTGAGTGACGGTAAGTGGACGCTTCGCAAATAACAAAAAAATAACGACGGTTTCGACTCGACGTGTGTGCCACCAACAATATATTATTATATTATGACGTGTAATACATGAGTACACGACGCATAGGATCTACCCGCGGACGGGACGATATCGTTAAGACGTGACACGTATCATAAGTGAATATGATATATATAGAACATATGATTATGTTGCTTGACGTTGTCTTGTTAGTATTTTTCACTAATCTGTTTTTAACGACCACCCCGTCACTCATAGGTATTTATTTTTTCATAATAATTATAATATTAAAATCGTGGCCGTATATAATATCACAATATTATTATCATGACGTTTTACAATACGCACACAAAAGAACCGTAAATATAGAAATACAATACTCCGACATCGGGGACTATATTATTATATTACATAAACAAATAAGACGCTTGACGACGATGGTTGTAAGCGGATTACAAACAAAAATAAACGATCGAATTTTTGCTCCAAATACCACTGGATTCCTCGAACACTGGTTTCAGCCGGTTTGATGCAAATTCCATCGCTTAATTAGCCTAGTCGCGCACAACACGCGTAATAATATAAAGGAAAATATACCTCCCATATCAGTGCCACACATATCGCGATTCTCGCAGCAAGAGTGGGCAAGGAAGGGCGGGTGGTAGCCGGGAGGGTGTCAGGCAGGGCGTGGGGCCCATCCAACGCACGCCACATCCTCCACATACCTATGCGGCGTACAACGCACGTAGTACATATACCTACCTACGATATCGCGTTATTGTGTATGCAACGAAGTCCCTGGCGCTGCGGCGGTGGCGGGGATCGCGCTAGCCGAGACGACGTGGCGGTGGTGTATCATAGCGATTATGCGCGCGACGAGGGCGGCCGCCGACTCGCCGCGGCGCGCACTGCTCGGCCTCACCGCCAGGGAGTGTCTGGGGCGCCGGCGCTGCCGCATACATACTCTATACATATATATACGCTCACGGCATTATACGTATATTCCACCCGCCGCCGCCACAGCTTTTTTCAATTCCGACACACACACACCCAAGCAGGACAAGTGCTCGTATATTATATATGTATATGTATACCTAATAATAATATATACGCGCTCGACCGGCGGCGGCGTTTGCGCTCTGTGCCGCCACCGCCGTACGTTTTACAACGTGCGGGGCACGTCCGCGCCGCGGTATATAGTCGCACGAACCCGCCGCCGCGCCGTCATACGCTCGCCGGCCACCGTCACCGACGGCACTCGGCAACTGCATTCTACTCCTACGGCTGCTCCTCGAAAGCGAACCGAAAAGCGACCACCGCCACCACCACCACCACCGCCACCACCGATACCGCCGACGCCGCCGCCAGACCAGACAGCGCGCCGCGTCCGTCTCTATATTATCTATTTCCGCGCGCGACCGCCCGTCGTTGTCCCGCCTGTACAATCAAATTATAACGAAATCGCGTCTAACCGACCAAATAATAATAACTGCACTGCGATATTCCATCATATTAATTTGTTATTATTAGTAATTATTACGATTATTAATATTCCATATAGCATACCTCTTACGGCACAAAAAAATTAGAAAAAACCGTTGTGCACTGCACACACCACGCAACGTGCCAGCGCGCCACACAACTTACACCTGTGCCACACCACCTGCGTGCAGAGCTTATAATATATTATAATAAAAATATTATATATTTGTTCGATCATTTATTATATTTCACTGTACAATAAACACCACCGCCACCAGCGCAGTCATCCGCCGACGATATACACTTTTCAATAACCGTACACGCGCGCGTTAAAGTACCTACATTACACCTGCAGCAGCGGCAGCACGAGACCGTCTCTCACTACACACGCCCACCCATGTAAGTATATATTATTATTATTTTAATAATGACGCAATGATCTTCGTTGGTCTTCGTGCGTTATATGTTATTATTATTATTATTATTATTATTATTATTGTCATCAGTCATCACATTGAACCATAATATTTATTATAGGTACGTGTTATTATGTACGACCATAACGTCATGTTATATACATCACATTATAATATTATGACGTTTATTACTCGTATATTATAGTCACTGCAGTATATTATTTATGCATACCGTTGTGCTTCATATTATAATACTGCGATACACGCGAATTTGTTGTAGTGCCGCAGTGGCGCCATACAATATAATATATCCGAATATGGTAATTTATTATTTAACGGAGGCAATGAGAGGTGGCACCAGGCCCGCTGCCAACCGAGGCGTATATTGTTGAGAAATACGATTTCACGGCAAGAATCAGATAGGTTTATAGGTTTTCCATCTCTGGTCTCACGACCGGTAATATTCTGCAATATACCTATATAGATATTTTAAAAGAACGACCTACGTGAAGGTATATAATCAAACCCCGTCACCACCCCATTCCCAACGGCCAACTTGATACATAGGTATATATATATATATATAAATACGACTCCGTGCCTACAGGAAACTTGTCGAACGTGAAAGGCACGCATAATATAATGTATTGAAAAGGTCAGAGTGTTTTATCATCTTGACGGTTGGATGGCTGGGTCGTATTAAAATGAAATTTCGACCCTAGCGTAATTCAAGTATACATATATTTTCATCCCGCGGCGTAACTTGATAGTGCTGTATGGGTACACTACATCGTCGGGGGTGGCGCGCAGAGCATAATGTAACTTCTATATTTATTTTATACATTACCATTATTATTATTATTTAGTACTTTATAGTACCCCCTCCCCATGCATTGCCTAGTCGGTATAAAAGAATATTATGCTCAATACTGTTCCATTTTGGGTCGTAGGAAATTTCCGCATTCTAATATTTTTTCGTTCAGTGCATAATGTCGGGTGCACACGGCTGCAAGCTGCAGCTTCCGCGCTTACGGACATCATAATATAATATAATATTTTAGCGCAAACTATATTGTATAATAACACAATAATAACGAGGCTGCACATTCATATGTACTGACGCGGGTGGAGTCTCCGGCCGTGATGAGTTGGCGGGTGGGTGGTGGGTATAACGGAGTGTTGTAATATATATATATATATATGCGTGCAGCCGCAGTTCTATGCAGTATATATAGTTTAAGTACCTATTATATGTATAATAACATGACTATAATATAGTGGTAGTATACATATATCATATAATATGTATACATAGTAAACACGGTGAATAGCGGTGGCAGTAATATTAGTGGCAGTGTAGCGCGATATAATTGCCGAGAAGGTGACGCGCGGCCTTGGTCGAACGCGCGACCTGATGACCTCCAATGACCGACACGGGCCGCCCTCGCTTGCGAAGCTCGTATACGCTCACACCCCCCGCGAACGACCTAACTACCGCGCGCCGCGATCGATGCAGTCCGCCGCCGAAAACCACCACACAGCCACACACACAAAGATACGCACAAAGACACACACACACATACATAAAAGACACACACACATACATTCTATCTATAGCGAACCTCAGCCCGACCACCGTCACCGGTCATCCCCCCCTTACCACTCCATTTTGTCTTGTCTACATTATACTTGGTCGCAAGCAGGATGGGGTGGGGTGGATAGATCTATAACATAATCACGCCGATTTTCTGATCATATATATTATTACCTATTATTATAATATGATTATGCAAGAATGGTAGTTACCTACACCTGTACTTAGATACCACTGCAGAGACGCGAGGGCGAAAAAAATAAAAGCACCAACAACGCGTATGCATTGATGATAATATTATCTTATATATATTATTATCGTTGGACATACGATGGTACGATACATTATAAATAATTAGACTTAGGTTGTTATAGCCTATAGGAGTTTATCGTATACGCACAACATACGTACGCCAATACTATATTATTAGTAGCAGTATATTGTATATAGTGTTCATTTCCGGTTGTAATGCTACCACCGTCCACGTGGTTATAGTATAATACCAAAACAAACAATAAATAAAAATTATTTTTCAGAATCTATATAGGCTAATAAATTATAATTAAAACGGTCTGCAGCGCATTTCCCGTTGCCCATTGATCACATTAAGCGGACATGACTGTGATTATGCACGCCGTCTTTTCGTATTCGCGGCCATCTATTTTATGTACCTGACGCACAGCGCTGACCTCCTTTATCCTTCCGGAACCGGCCGCGGACTCCATCGATCGGGGGACATCTTTTGCGTTTTTGCATAATGTGTAAAAAAAAAAGCAAGGAGTTAAAAAAAAATAAGCAAACGTTTCTCGAGTGAACTGCATTATGCGAATCTATAATAATAATATTATCTTTTATATTCAATGGTTTCGGTAACCACGGCGGTGCTTTTTTCTTATTTATTCCTATGGCTTGTATAGTACTGTATGTACATATTCGAAATTATTATTATCAGCATATATATCTGCAGCAGCACGCAGACGTCTGCAGTTTAAACTCGGGCTGCTGCCTCCTCCCACCACCGGACGTTCACCCTGCGGTGAGGGTTACATTACAAAAAAAGTTTAATTAGTTTGTTGTCGATTTTTTTCTTACTCGCGATGTGGGCGAAAATTCTTTCTTCGCAAACTTTTACGTGCAACCGTGTTCATGGGTACGAACGGAAAATCACGGTTGTACATATTTCACACTTGTACGATATATAGATGGGCGCTATCAGCATTATTATTGCTACGATTATCGTAATAAATTCTCAATGATTAGAACTATTTTTTTAATTATTCTAATTATCCAGTGTCCACCGGTATATTTTTCGTAATTACTGTTATGTCTTAAATTTGAAAATATAAAGGTACGTAGGTACCCACGCATCATATAATATTATGCAGTATAACATGGTGGAATTTGTGGCCGGGAAGTATTGAAAACAAAATCTGTGAAGAGTGATCGGAGAAACTGAGAGTGGTGAGGTTTCAATTTTATATTTGATCAAGTATAGGAAATGAATATAATAATTTATAGGCTATAGTTATAGTTATAGCTATAGTTATTACTTATAGTCTATAATATGACGTGTACTTGGTGAATACATATTACATACATGTCGTATATACAAATACCACTCTCCGCGGCACTGGATGGGTACATAATACATCACACACGAATTTGAATAGAACGATATTAATTCATACGTAATATATTATTAATAATAATCCTACTCTAGAAGTATATTTATCAAGGGGTGTCCCTGGTTCGGAAAACAAAAAAGACCCGACAGCGGCGTGTCGACGTATTTCCCCTCCCCCCACCACCACTCACAAACACATAGACACACTCACTTGCATGATAAATATGATGTAATATTTTGTACATACGTATAGGTACCCTGCAAATTACACCTAAGCATTGCGTTGTATACATTATATATACACGTCGCGATGATAAATCGTTAATAATATAATATTAATGGCACCGTATGCGCGAGTATAATATAATAGCTGGTGCACACACCTATCCTATACAAATATATATATATATTATTTTAGCCCGACGTAGTTCCGCAATTGTATAAATATTAAATACATTATGCCCGTCGCGAAATAAATTGCCCGCGCGAACAACGCGAATTGCGGAAACACTAAGTACAATGGCTGGCTGCCTGACTGCTGCAGTACAACAAATATAATAAATGATGACAATAATATAATTTGTGGACGGGCGGCGAGTTTATTTTTTTTTGTCGGTATTCGGCGAAAACGCTTCTAGTGGTTTTTTACACTTAGATGGTCATATTATGCATAATATTATTACTGTTCATAATATAGTCCGTCTGTAAAACCCATTTTCCAGTCGTTTCGGTTTTTTTTAATATATAATTATTTACCTATACGTTTGATGGGCTCGTGTGAACAAATTCCAACCGCCGTGAATTTTAATTTAACAGTAAACAAATTGTATTGAGCCTTAGCAGGATGGTTTGAATGTGATTTTTTCGCGGTAAGCGGCTCTAATTACCGTACTATGTCTACTAGCATTCTAGTGTTATAGACACCTAATCAAGCCATTATTGAAATAACACTGTAGTTACACAATAATAGTACCTATATTAGATTTTTGGAAATTCGACAACTTTTCGGTGTTGCTTGGTGGAGCTTTTGTTAGTATATGATAAAGGAGAGATCATCGGTTTTCTGAAATTCAATACTCAGTTATTGACTCTCTGTAACTCATTGGGAATGAAAACATTTGTACCGTATAAAAATAATAATAATTTATAATGTTATGATTTATACAGTTATCGTATGACAGGTTGACTAAGAATTTCTTGAGTTATTTAGGATTTTGAAGTAATTAAGTTAGCGAGGAACATTATACAAAATATTATTCATCACAAATACCATTTGGAGTGAATTTTAAATTTTAAAAATAAAAATGTATAAAGATAATATTATATCATTTTGTGTGAGTTACGACCTTATTGCAAAAGTAGTGGAAATTGTTTTTTTTGCACGAAAGGTTGTTTGATTGATGGTTCACAATGTGCCTATATAGAGAGAAAAGATTGCAGGCGCTACTTGTGAGAACGATTTACAATGTAACGCATTTTCATACAGGCGAAAATAATTTTATTGATGGATTAAAAATAAGTTTGTTTTGAAAACTTTATATCCAAGATTTTTCCCCCGAGATTAATTATTTATTATGATTTTTACTGAAATCTTCACCATTACTTATATTTTATACTGACAAAACATTTATAAACACATATTCATATTATATAATATTTCATTTTATCATCCACTTGCCGACTGGTTATATATTTTTATCATTCATGATTTTTTGGTATGTATCTATAATAATTTCAAACAATTTTAGGTTCACAGGTTAACACAATATGCAGTTCAAGCTTAGTAGGCATAAAAATCAAACCGTGGAAATCGTATTAAAATTGATCTAATTACACAGTATAACAGTGATGCAATATTTATTGTGTATATAAGTAGGGGAAATTACAATTAGGTATTAACTCGTCTTCCTGTATAGGTTGTATAATGTATATATTATATATATAGTATAAAATCTGTAGTTTTAATCAGATTTTATTATAGTAATTATACTTTATAAAACGTGTTTTGGAAATTTACAGCTGCAGTATTCAGGAGGTTTATTTTACTCAGGTTAAGAATGAATAGAACGGAATGAACGTTATCGATAAAAAAAAAAAAGTATCCCATGTAAGAAGTAGTCCCAATGATTAAAAAAGGCATGTAAACCGGAAAAAATAAAAGACACATGAATATGATAAAACTGTTAAGTGTACGAGAAATGGAGCATTGATTTGCACTACTGTTTGCGGAGTCTAAAAAAAATGTAGGGCATAGTATATATATCAGTGTGGCAGTGTTTCCTTCTCAACACCGCCCTTTCCAAAAGCCTTGTATATATATATGTATATTATATATAGTGTAGTAGACATTTTTTTAGTATTATTATTATTATTATTATTATTATTATCATATACCCTTGTTTTTATTGTTCATCTATTTATGTTCATTTTATTATCATTTTATCTACTAACAAAAAAAGTCGAGTATTTTATTTCATCAAGTATTTTTTCCTCGAGTATTCTTTCTCATTGTTCGCATTTTACAAATATACAGTTTGAGTGCCAAAAACCAAAACAAAAATTCAAACTATAGGTAATATTTATATAGCATCTGGGATAAATAAAGTCCCACAAAAACGATGGTATCTATAGAACAACTATGGTATAAACATTTAAAACACATATTATAGGGTGTGTAAATTTATTATATGTATTGTATAATATATATTTATATATGCACCCTTGTAAAGTATTTGAGTAAAAGTATTTGAGTAAAGGTATTCAAATATTTTTTTGGTACTAAATATGTACTTTTTGTTTGTATTATATTTTATTATATTATATGTATTATGTACCTATTATTTTGGGAGGTGAAAGTATCCTGAAATGTTCTTCATAAATATACGTACAAGTAGGTACCTACTACAGTAGTACAGTACTACCTAATACCTATATAGTATTATATCTGTATGTATTAGATCTAGGTAATATAATATTATGCATTATTTATAAAATTATGAATATTTATAGGTACCCACTATAATATATTTTTGTTTTTTGTATACTACTTTGAATATAATATATAATTCTTAAAACGTTTTCACTCCGGTATTTTAAGTACCTATTAATATACTTTTTTGATTTTAGAATGCGCTTGAGTATTCATTATTCACTAAAACACTATAATAAAATATAGTGGTATATGAACTTATATTATATTGTGTTCGTATCCTATTGTGTTTAAAACGTATGCGGAAAGTCACTCCAATTTTTTTGTTTCCCGAACATGTTTTAATGACTGAAATAAAAATGTGAACAATGTCAAATTAAACAAATAATCGATACAAAACAAATAACAATATATTGTAGAATATAATTTACGAATCCTATAAATCGTATTTTGGAATTATACATAACTTGACTAACATAAATAATAGTATATATATATATATATACATTGTATAGGTTAGTGTGCGTAATGCATATAACTAAAACGTACTTACGATTCAAAAGTTTTAATGACGTGTATAATTTTATATGGCGTGATGAGGATTTAAAATGTTAAAAATGTTCGTTAAAAATGCATTGCTCAGCTACTCGTCCGATCTATACTGCCGATTTATATACGACCGTAATTATTTTGAAAATATATGTAGGGCATCTCGATCTGCCAAAAATGTTTGCGCACATTGCACGCCACTTTGAGTTAATGCCCACTATTTAATGCCACCACCGACTGATGATAGTGATCGTGAGGAGGAAGTTGGGGAGCGGAAAATTGATTACATGTAAAACAAATTATACACGTTTTAAATGTTTAATGACGATTGGGTTACCGGCTTTGTACAATATTATATATTATTTAGCTGTGCGCGATAATACAAATACAATATAGGTACACCGCAAATGTACACAGAAATGACCTAAAGAGCACGTATTATAAATAAATAATAATAATAGTATACGTATTATGTTGTATGCAGTATCCGTGCGTGCTATCGTGGAGTATAAAACAATAATCGTAATACCTATGTAATATCGCTATTATTTGTTAAATCATAAGCTCAAATAGGGAATTAAATCGACGGGAGCTTGTGTAGGTACTTTAATATTTTACGGAAACTAACTTTAGGGATTTCACACCATTGTTTATCTAACCCATTGTTTATCCATACGTTTTCAATCATCGCATATATGTTGTTCGCAGAAAATGATAGTTCACATAATTACCTAGACACCCAGTACCTCCTACCTATATAATTTATTGGTCGTGAGTGATGACACATAATGATTAATATTTTGATTGTTTTTATCAAATTTTCTTTTTAATAATTCCTGCACAGTCACAGGATGTAAACGAAAAAATCGTTTTATTGGTAGATCGGGGGCTGCTTTGCATCAGAAGGGCTTCACCCTCTCCCTCCTAAGCCCTGCCATATTGGCGTATACGTTCATATAACATCAAAGAAAGCTCGTATCGTAATCGAATTTACGTCGTATTCTGTTTGTGTGTACATAGATTTGGGAGAACGCGACAGTTTGACCAGTTCGGTTAGCGAAGAAGAAAACTCCGACACGATGAAAACATCCGAGGAAGTAGATTTCGAAAAGGAATTCCGGCCGGATGACGTTGGTAAGGAAAAAAATCGAACCCCCGAGGACACATAAATGAAATGCGTTCTGCACACACGCACAATCGTTGTGCCATGTTGTGTGCGTGTGTGTGACACACTATGTGAATAGTGTGTGCATTTATTATAAGATAAATGGAAATTCTTTCTTTTGTTTAGTGATTTTTTTTTTTTTGTTTCGAATCTGTTGAAATAGAATTCACACGCACACACATACACACATGTTTACAAACACTATTAGTTTTTTATTTGTGTTGCATATATTTATATACAGAATTGTGTCATGCCGCGACCAAAATCCAAGCGTCGTTCCGGGGTCACATGACAAGGAAACAGCAGGCTGGCGGAAAAGACGAGCCTGGCGCAACGGCTTCTGGTTTGACTTCTAAAGACGAAAGTCTCGAATCGCAGTTGAAAAACGTCGACATAAACAAGGTACATAAATATATAAAACATAATTTTTTTATTGATAATTTTTTACTATAATACATGATCAAAAAATGTAAAAAGTTAACTGAAAGTCACAAGTTATGATAATTTACATAGTTGGTTTATCTACCTATACGTGTATCTCCGGTTAACAAAACTCGAGTTGACAGTATATGAATGGGAATTTGTTAAAAGGGACCCAAGTTACATTTTTGATAAAAATAGTTTTGTTGTATATTATTCATTAACTCGTGTAAACACATATTATATGCTTATAATTTGTAAATCAAAGACTGATTCAATAAAATTAGGTAGGTACTTAAGTTTTTCTTTTTTTTTTAATTTTAGTAAAAAAATATTGTTTTTTTAAGATTGTTATTCATTTGTTTATATTCAAAGTTTGTTATTTAGTTGCATTGTTATCTATTTAATTGAATAAAATAAATAAGAAGGTATTATATTGTTTTAAAATGTGACTATTATATTAAATTATGATACCTTAAATTAATAAAATTATTAGAATTTGTTTAAAGGTACCTAGGTCACATTACAAAAAATAGTTATTTATATAAGTTTACAAATTTTTTTAAATAATTTTTTTTGCTATTTATTTTGTATACAATACTATTTAATCTAAATTGTGATGATTTATCTTATAACACAAATAGAAATAAAGGAAAACTGTTTTTTGTTTCTTCTGAAAAGTAGTTGAAAATGTACATGGGTCCCTTTTAACAAATTGCTATTCATATATATTATATACTATATAATTGCAGTAGGTGTATAATATATACAATATAATATAGAAAGTAATTTGCCGGCAACGATTCCATAATATTAAAATAATGTATCGGTAATATAATGTATTAATAGACTAGCCAAAAGTAATGCTGTAAACAGTATCGTCGAATAATTGATATAAATATTTAACAAAAAGTTAAATAATTATGATTTGTTTTTAGTACCTACCTGGCCAATTTTAGACATATACCTACATAATGGCTAATACATGTCTAAACAGTAAATTGCAAATACTAAAATACATCATATTATTATATATTTATTATTTATATGCGAGGGTATAAGATAGTGATCTTTTTTTATCACATAAAACAAACTTCATTTGGCACGGGAAATTGCATCTTACAGTTTTAGTGTGCAATATTACAATATAGGTGCCAAATTATAATAATAAGTGTACAAAGAGATTTACAATAATTCTATGAATATATAATATAAGCACAAAAGAGAAAATGTTTATTTGCGTGAATCTGGAATTATAATTAGGTATCATATAATATAAATGCAATGCGGATAATAATAATTACCTAACGATAACAATATTATTGTACAGGGTTATATACTTATATCCTTACATCATATATTATTACATTATATTATACAGACGAGCATTAGTTACCGACGAGTGGTCTTTTTATATATCTATTCTGTGATATTATAGTATATTATACTATGTATATATTACATGTAGATAAGTTATTAAAAAAATATATATAAATAGGTTAGGTGAGGCAGAAGTCTTATTGACTTCAGAGTCACTATAGCAGCGTTTCTCAATACACGGCCCCTTTAATAAATTTTGTGCGGCCCGCGCTAAAACTGAATTTTACATTCTTACATTCTAAAAACAAATATTCTACACACAAGTAAATAAAATAAAATACTTGTGTTAAAATTATATTTTTTAAATTTCTATAACTTATAATTACCATCATTTAAAATGTAACTAGGAACAATGTATCTTTACACCCGGGGTCCCGGGGGAAAAAATACGCCTTTGGTTAATATCATGCAATATGCGCAAATTTAAATTTATTCACTGCATACGGCCCGTAAACAATTTCCAAAAATAATATTTGGCCCTTTGAAAAACAATAATGGGGCTGCTGTAGGTACTATAGGGTGGTTGCAGCAGTTAACGTTTTTCATGCATCTAGAAAAATAAGCAAAAGTAAATTTCCTAAATTACTTGCCATGATCTGATTTAAATTTTAAAAAAATTGAATAAATTGGTTTTCTTTTTCTTTAAAGTTTTGTAGAAAAAACCTTTATTCATTTAACTACAGTTGCTCTTAGAATCAAGATATTTTTAATACAAAATACATGTTTTTTTTCCTTTATTTTAATACATGACATTTTAAATAGCAAAACTATTTTCCACAAAACTTAGTTACAAATCTTACCAATTCAAACATATTTTCATAATTTTATTAAAATACTACATTGGGAAGTAAGGTGAATTATCTTTATCATTTAGTGGTTTTATTGTTGTGTAAAGATATTGGTCGATTGGTTGCTGACATGAGAAATGTTCACGATTCGAATTCGTATTCGAATAAATTGATTGCAGTGATATTTACTGCACAATAATAATACATTACACACACTTAAAATATTAATTTACTCGACTACGGTTTTAATACTTTTCAATAAATTTTTTAAAACAAAATATTTTGAAAATACTGAAATTACATAAAGCTAATTTCACACCAGGATCTCGATAAATAATAATAATAATAATGAAAAAAAAGTCCATTTTAAGTGGAGCAGCTCCATATTTACCTAAAAATATTTGTGTTTTGTTAGTATTTAAAAATTACAAAGAAATTAAAATGAATACATCTTAAAAGACAATGTAAAGATTAAATCTCTTATTTGTACACATTTACCGATTATACCGACTGTTGAAACTTTTACTGTGATCCAATTGATCCAAAATGTGTTTCCCAAAATAATGAAATGAAATAGGTAACCATATCTTTTATATCATCATCCAAAACCCAATATGCACGTCATTCAGAATCTAAAATATAGATAATAGTTTAATATCGATGGCGTAGCGCACAAGTGTGATAAGTGACATTTTCGTAATTGTTCAGGAGAACGATTTTTAAGTTTGAGATGTCATAACAAATTCAAAAATGTAACGAACTGTACGACGTCTATCGGAGTAAATAATGAACTATTCACTTACAACGTTTGGGCATAATGTGCAGAATTGTATGATTAAATTGATTATGCACTTAACTCATTTTTCAAAAAAATGTCACTTATCACACTTGTGCGCTACGCCATCGATATAGTGGAACACCATAACGTATTATATACGCCGATAATATGTGTTCAAAAACAAATCTTCCACTTTATACTAATATGCATAGTTGTATGCTAAACTCGTCACTCAGCTTCTTTTTTTTTAAACCAGAACTTTATTGAATTCAAAAGCATTAAAAGTTGAGATACAAATATTTTTTTCTACAGTTTGATGTGTTGCAGTTCTCACGATCAGAATGTATGTAAGGTGACATTGAAATAGTTATTCTACAATGTGACAATAAGTTCCCAGGATAAGTTTATTTCACTAGGCTGTAGAATATAAATCTTTTTATCGATTATTTACGATAAAAGTCAACCCTACTAGGTTGGAATAAAATTACTGATTCGCTATATCATCAACCAACTCGGACAATTTTTAAACAATATACACATAAACGAGCGAGATGTACCTATAATAAGTACTATAATTTATAGTCATACTTTGTTTATCGTCGTTGACCGTGAGATGTGACCTATTTCTTTCGATATTGCCCATAAAATGTACTACACACATAATATAAATAATATATATACATATGGATAACCGGATAGGACATCCCTCTAACTAAATAAACACGGTATACTGCGTGAGCAAAGTCTAGTCTACTAGTTACCCTAATGGTAATTTGAGGTATAATAGATATACTGGATGAAGACAGTTTTTTATCAAACCATGATCTGTTAATTTTTTAATTAAATTATTAATTTCTATACGGTCCTTTTATTATCATTAATGTTGACCATTGTAATTACCTATTATTTTGTCAGACTTTTTAATCTATTATTAAAAAAGTACAAACTAAAAAAATATTATAATATAAATGTTTGTATTGTGGTTTCACTGGTTGTGATACCACACCTTAATTACATGTGACTAGTATGCTCTTTGATCACACTTAAATACATGGTATATCCCATCATTGCCACCATCGATGTATAATGATATATTACCAATGACTATTGACTTCACACCCATTAAATTGTCGTGTACAGGACGCGGACCTAGACCAGCTGTTGGACGTTGACTTGGCCGATCCGGAGCTGCACAAAGCCGCCACAAAGATTCAGGCGTCGTTCCGCGGGCACAAAGCTCGAAAGGCTGATGATGCAATCGATGGCAAGCAATAGGACCGCCTCCGCTGTATAAAATTTCCATTATTATTATTATTATTATTATTATTATTTGTATTTGATTTTTTTTTTTCTTGCATTCAACAATGCTATGGTAATAATACTAATATCTATCGAGGACGGACGAGCAGCATAATAATAGGACAACTACAACTGTTGTACTACACCACTGCAGTCATTATTATTATCATCATCATCATAGTAATTTTCGATAATATTATTTTATTTCACTGCGGATGTAGGAGAGGAAACGTTTTATTAAAATTACATTTATATTTAATTAGGTTTTCCAACGCTGTCGTGACAAGTTTCTTATTAGGTTCAGCAACATAATAATAATATGTCAATCGGTTTGTAAACCACAGCATTACCTATACTATATATATTATGCCTAATTAAATAGAATCGTTCGATTTTTTTTTTCTCTTAAGCTAATAACATTCCTTTCCCGCCATCCTCGTCTTATATTATAATACAGTCATAATATTATATTCATTTTCACTATGTCGATTGTGACCAACGCGAAATTCGTATCAATGTGTAATTATTATTATTTTTACTATTATTAATTATTAAAACATAATATATTTTAAAACACGCACATCAATTTAAATACTTTTCTGGAGTTTCTACCAAAAAAATAAATTACGGTCGATATTGTATTTCGTATATTATATACCTACCTTATGTATTGTAACTAAAATTTGGTAGCTGCAGGGTAATAATACTATAATAATTATATGAATACCGTTGTGTCCCATCAGAACGTAATAATCAAATGTAATCGTAATCAAAATAATAATAATTATAAATTAAATTAAAACCACGAAAATAACGAGGGTTACTATTACATTGAGCTTGGAGACCTTATCATAATATTATATGCGTCGTTTCAAAGAATAGTAATAATTATTATTTTCTTCTATGCTGCACGGTGTCATTCCAACGCTGCAGTATTATTTTAATGTCATAATCGTTTCATAACTACTTTTTTTCGACCAGTCGTTTTCAAATTTTTAACGTTTACGAGATAATATTACATTTATTATTATTATTATTATTATTATTGACTATTGTAGTTATAAATTATAATATTATATACATCGTATAAAAATCATACATTATTTAGACGAAACTCGCATTTATATAGTACCTAAGTAGGTAATCAACGTATATCCGTGAAAACGAACCAATTATATTTGCTTGAAATTTCTGTTTTTACAATTTATTAATTATTATTAATCGAGTAGGTTGTAGAAAAAATGTTTGATAATTTTACATAAATTTATAAACATTAATTATTATAAAACATCACTTTAAGCACTCGTACACCGGCAAACAAAATATTGCCTGTTGAGTCATTTAAAAATTAAAATTTGTATTTTAAACTCATTGTCGCTGCTCACTTGAAAAATATATTACATTTATACAAATAAATGATTGGAAAATAACTTTTTCGTAAAATACCTATTCTTTGAATAAAAATAGTTTACTGTTTTACTTTTTATTTCAAACGATAAATTCCTTATTATTACCATTATATTTCATAAACCATTTAATAATTTGATATTTAATTTAATTTCAAAATATAGCATTATTATTATTGTTATTATTAATTATTATTATCATCATTATATACTTTAATCAATCAATCAATCAATCAATTTATTATATAGGTAATACGTAGTCGTTTATTGTAGAATTTTTTTTTTCAACAACAAAACATTCACACTTACACACACACACGTACACAATATTATAATATACACCAACTACATATAGGTATATTATATTAAATAAAATTGAACTAAATAGTTGTTGTTGTTGTTGTTAATGTTGTTGTTTATATTATAATTCTGTTTTTTTTCTCATATTATTACTTACAGAATCCTCAAATTATTAATTGTATTTTATTAGTTGTATGTCGATTTTAGTGCATATCTATCTATTTAGTATTTTACAGTCGTCATTTTCAAATATACGTATTTTAGAAATATAATTTGTTTATTATTACAATTTACAACACACTCAGTGTCACTCACCAGTCACCAATGTTGCCTCGACCATTCTAGAAAACAGAAATTCCGCGTAAAAAAAAGTCAACTTATGATTTTGAACATTGCGACGTTGTTAATGGTTTATAACGATTTGTTTTTTTTATGTGCGTGTAAACACGTTTTGGAGTTGAAAGACTTTTAAAAGTCGTTGTACGTACAACACTTCACTATATTATATTGATTGAAAATTGGACATGGTGCCACCGTGTATGGTACCTACAACAGTACAACAGAAAGGTCATTTGTTATAATACACTACAGAACAATTCTTTGAAATTCAAAACATTGATAATTACATTATTATACATTTTTACTGTATATTTTAATAAATGTCAATAAACTATTATTTCTTTTTTTATGAGCAACTAAATATTTTTATTTTGGCATTGAATTCAACTATAATTTATACTTTTAATCATTATTTAAATTACACTTTTTATTAATTTGTCGAAATGAGCAACACGAGTGCTTCCGAGCTCAGGATCACATTTTAAATTCTGTGCTATAGGTTTACAATATTAAGTAACACATAACAACTATTTTTATCATAGGTTTTTTAAAAATCAGTTTATAAAAGCTGTTTATAAGTATTTTCATACAATACAAGTTGGAAACTGAATATAAATTGTAGGTACTTAAAAACTGCAACTTTTTAAATCTCACTAATTTTTGGAAAAGTTTTAGTGAATGACAAAACGCTGGCAGGCTCTTACAACAAGTATAAGAAACATTTTTAAATAACTAGAAAGGTAGTTCCTATAGTGACGACTGACGAGTACTAAGTTAAAATATGGTGTATTTGAAATAAAATTATATGTGTACATTTTTAATTCTGTTATCAACAGAGGAATTGCCATTAAATTTGAACTCGTTACGGGTAAGTTTAGAACTTGAACGATAACATTATTTAACCAGAAGTTCAAATAGTTTAATAATATAATAATTGTGTATTGTGTGCTGTGTATTGTGATTTATAAATGCTACGAAAATGTTTAACACGTACTGCATCTAATCGCGTGTGCCACCATTAACGAGCTTTCGAATTTCCGATAGCGAGTCACCGACATAACTGCTAAACTAAAACAGCTAAGCATACAATAGGGTAAAAACACATATAATATAAATTGTTCAAAACGGCTTAAATTTCTTATTACTGAAATATGCTAAGCCAAATGTACCAGGTACATTTTCAGTGTTCGATGAAAATAACTAGTAAGTGGTAACGTAACAAGGTTAATAGGCTAGGCAGGTATAGGCACCTACTTTAACAAGTGTTTAAAGTACTTATAAGTTAGAACGTGTTACATAATTTCGTTACATTTTTCCTCATTAGTACAAATATAATCAAAACTGAAAATTATTTTTGACAAGCAAAGCGTTACTGTTTCGAGTATTGGATTAAAAAATAAAAATAAAAATCAATAGGAAAAAATAGGATAGAATAATGATAACATAAATGTCTATACAAATATATGTTTGTTAATTTCAACCCGTCACAATTCAGTTGTCATTGTTATGAAATTTTGTACAAAATATTATTTGATTGAACTTTACTTTATTTAATTAACTCTTCTCGAAATACACGTTCCCTCTTTTGTTATAAGTAATACATAGTTTGAGTCGTTGGCATATTATTACTCCGTACCTAGTATATTACCTACTAATATACATTTAAAACCAACATTTGGGGTACTCATTAATATTTTGTATTTAACAGAAAAACAGCCCGTCGGTCCTAATTAGACTACGATAAAAACAATCTAGGTTAAGGTAATTACTAATTTTATACGATGAATATCATGGTGACATTGAATATCACGTAGGTATGTCAGTTATAAAATTGATGTACATTTAACTGTTTAAGTATTTTAGACAAGTTAATTAAAGTAGCATAATGTTGAATATTCAATCAGAAACATACGAAATCAAATACAAACAATAGTTTCCTAATTTGAAGGGAAGTTTAATTATTAGTATTAACTATTAAACTTCAATACCAACCAAAACAATTTTCACAATAGAAATCCTATCACTATATCTAGTGATCATTTATATTATCACTGGTGCAGCAGTCTTAGCATCTGTTTTGTTTCATAAAATATCTGTTCCTAAATCATTCACCCTATTATTTACCCATTGATTGTTATTTAATTCAGTTTTTATTTAAAACAAAACACCTGAAACTCCAAATATAAAAACCTCTCAAAATAAACAGGGTAAAAAATCGAATATTAGATCAACATTGTTGAACAAATATTTGAAAAACATAAATATAGGTACTTAATTATAACCAACAGTGTGGAATTGAATGCCTAATGAAAAAGATTTAAAAATTGATTTCATAGCTAGGTATTTTAAAAACATTACCAAAAATTATAAAACACATTTAGACCCTTTCTAAATTCACTCAGATTATTTCATCTCCAAAGAAGAACTTTTAGATATAATTACAAAAATTAAACAAAACTAGATTATCAAAAATAATATATAAACGAAAGAATCTGAAGCATATGAAAGACAGTAAAATGCTCTTCTTCACTTCTTCAGTCTTCTACATCAAAAACACAATCACCGTATGTTAATATAATTATTGTAATTATAATAATTGTAATAATTATAATAATTTCTAGAATCGGGATTGGACAAATTAATTTAATGAAAAAATACCTTCTATAATTTATTATAGTCACGATTTTAAGTATAATATATTATTACAGTATTATATTATAGTTACTATTTTTTATTGTAAATTTATCATTGTTATTTAGTTCATGTATTTTACTTTAAAAAAGTCATCTTTAAATTTACTAAAAAAATGTATGTAACTACTATAATATTACTACAAAAATACTAAAAATGTAAAATTAACTAAACTTACTAACTTTTCATGTACCTATATATAGTAGATATTATATACATATTACTATGTTATATTAATAA